TTTCATTTTCTGTTCTTGTGTCAGTTTGCTGAGAATGATGGTCTCCAGGTTCATCCATGTTCTTACAAAGGACACAAACTCATCATTTTTGATGGCTGCATAATATTCCATGGTGTATATGTGCCACATTTTTCCTGTCCAGTCTATCATCGATGGGCATTTGGGTTGGTTCCAGGTCTTTGCTATTGTAAACAGTGCTGCAATGAACATTCGTGTGCATGTGTCCTTATAGTAGAACGATTTATAATCCTTCGGATATATACCCAGTAATGGGATTGCTCAGTCAAATGGAATTTCTTTTTCTAGGTCCTTGAGGAATCACCACACTGTCTTCCACAATGGTTGAACTAATTTACACTCCCACCAGCAGTGTAAAAGTGTTCCTATTTCTCCACATCCTCTCCAGCATCTGTTGTCTCCAGATTTTTTAATGATCATCATTCTAACTGGCGTGAGATCGTATCTCAATGTAGTTTTGATTTGCATTTCTCTAATGACCAGTGATGATGATCATTTTTTCATATGTTTGTTGGCCTCATGTATGTTTTCTTTTGTAAAGTGTCTGTTCATATCCTTTGCCCACTTTTGAATGGGCTTGTTTGTCTCTGTCTTGTAAATCTGTGTTAGTTCTTGGTACATTCTGGATATCAGCCCTTTGTCAGATGGGTAAACTGCAAAATTTTTTCCCCATTCTTTTGGTTGCCGATCCACTCTAGTGACTGTTTCTTTTGCCGTGCAGAAGCTGTGGAGTTTCATTAGGTCCCATTTGTCTATTTTGGCTTTTGTTGCCAATGCTTTTGGTGTTTTGGTCATGAAGTCCTTGCCTACTCCTATGCCCTGAATGATTTTGCCTAGGTAAACTTATATGAACATATGTGTATATGTTTTTTATCACTAAAAGATTTTTTTAAAAGGTTGTATCAGTTCATATTCCTACTTGCAGCATATGAAAATGCTCACTTTCCAAGAGAAGAACATTTAAAAACCAAATAAACAATAAATAGAAAGAATTCAATGCAAACAATATAAAAGTTTTAAAGGTAATCAGATAGTTTTCTTTTTATATCACACATTTGAATGCATGGTGAGAACACTGAAGGAAGGAAGGCTAAACAGACATCTTTTACACATATCAAATTTTGGACAAATTCTTGAGGGGAAAAAAATAAACAGCATGTTGGAGGGTTTGCTCCTGAAGAAAGCTCCTGAAATGGCACAAGAGATGATATGTGATTCTATGCATGCCATCACGTAGCCCTCTTCCCCCCTTTACCCACTGAAAATGACAGTACTTGGACTGCTTACAAGTCTGGATATATGGGAATGATGTTCCCCACATGGCCAAAGGGAAATGGCTCAGACATGTGCATTCCTGAGGCCAGCTGAGTAGTGTGGTCTTGGTGAATTCCTGTATGTTTGAATCAAGGTAGTCATGGGGTTGGTGCTGCATAAGGTTAATTTGGAATTGCTTTTCTTCAGGTTTAATATGCACAGTAGCTTTTAGGAGGGGAAAAAAAAGGTTTCCAGGCACATTGGCCATCTTTCTATGCTTGTTTATTATATAATCTTTATTCAAATAATACTTCTTCATATTATTGAAAGCTAGTTGTATTTTTCAGTATTTAAAAAAAATTAAACATAAAGAATACAAAAATCTCTCACATATTCATCACCTAATGATAGGGTATCATTGTTTATGGCATTTACCTCCAGTTTTTTTTCTCTTTTATGTTCTTGTGTTTCTTTTGCAGAAAATCAAACTGCATACATGTTTTATGCCTTGCTTTTTTACAAAATACAATATTGTAACATTTTCATGTCATAAAACAGTCTTTAAAAACTTATTTAAGGGCTGTCTAATATTTACTTGTATTAATATGTGCTAAATTATTTAGAATGCTCTCACTGTTGAACGTTAAATCTGCTTCCATTATTTTATTAATCTGAGTAACACAGCGATGAACATCTAGCAGAAATCTTTGCTGTGTTTCTGATGTTTTCCCTAAGGTATATATTTCTAGACATATGTATTTTTTATTTCTGAGAATAACAAATGATGGCTAACACTGGTACCAAAAAGCTTATTTTTCTCTTATTTCCTTTGCTTTCTGCTTGCGAGTTTTGGACTATCTGTTCTTTACAGATTCTATTTTCTTTACAGTTTTGTTTAGCCATTTGTTTTAAAATAATAGGCTCGATGTCAGTGACATTTCAGCTTCTCTAATAGCAGACTGTTACACCATACTGCTCTTATCCTGACTGGTCATTATCTCAAACTCTGACACGCATTTTCCAAATATAAAACTTCCCCATGGATGTGGGCTCCTTTCAGGACAGCCATCTCTCTGATCCTCAAGTTTCACCCAGCTACCTTGTGGCATCCTGCTTGGAAGGTGAGGCTGCTTCCTGGAATGCGGGTCTTTCTCTCTCAGATCTTGTATTTGATCCCAGCTTGGTGCACCTGCTTGTAATGGAAAACCAAAGGTGTGGGTCCCCAGAGCCCCCATGACTGCGCTGCCTTCTAATCCTGCCCAGCATGAGACTCACACCTGCATCACATTTTCTTAGAAACTGCAAAGAAAAACACCCTAAATCATATTCAGTGATAGGACAAACCATGGAATTGGTTTAAATTTATGAGTTATTACTCTTGAAAATGAAACCAAAGGAAATCAGGCTACTGTACACTGTAAGCCCATGTGAAAGTTGTGAGTCTTACAGAAGTTAAGTTGAAGTTTGGTGTTAAGAGATGGAGTTTCTATTTCATTTGAGTGACTCTATGAAATCAGTTTTATCTTCTTGAACCTCTTTCTGTCCAATGGAAAACAGAAATTAATATTACCTACTCCCTCACTATTACAATGTAACTTGTGAAAACATACAAATTCATATTCAGTGTTTTGCATATCTCAGAGGCAAGGGAGTTAAAAGATGACCATTATCCCTAGAAATTACAACTCAGATAATCTGGGTTGCATTTGGCACTACTTCCTAAATATATGATGAATTATTGTTGGCATAGAAACTTCTTGATGACATGAGGCCTGTTTAAAAGTACCATCTCCTTTACAGCTCGCTATGTCCAACTAAAATATATCAAACACTTCCTGCTGCTCAGTGTTCAGATAATTGGACTTCCTTCCATGTTCTTCAGTTTCCATGTGAGCTTTAGTTCCCCTTCTAGGACTACACAACATCATATCTCATTATTATTATTAGGGTCCTAAACATGGATTATTCATTCCAATACAGATGGACGTCTTTGTCTCCAAGCTAAATCTTGTACGATTATAAAAGCTAGTTTTGATTAAGGGCTTATGGTATGCAATGAATTGTGTTAAGAGCTCTACAGGCATTATAACATAGAATCCTCACAGCCACATAATAGGTGCAATTCTTTTTCTAAATTTGCAGATGAAGAAATTAAAGCATGAAGAGGTGAGAAATTTGCTAGAGCTGATACCATGCAAATGCTATAGAACTTTAGGGTGAGATTTTTAGCATATGACAGTTACTACCTTCAAGAAGAAGTCATTTTAGTGTGTAGTTTTTTACTATCCAACTCAACTAAAAACTTAATATATAGGCACCATTAACAAAAAACCGTGTTCAATTCTAGGTTGTTATTGCCTTCCTTTTTGTGGGGGAAATTAAACTAGCTTGGGCTTTGTTGGGCTTGACAGCTTTTGTTTGGCTGGTAAAATGTTGCATATTTGGTATAGAAATTACCCAGGGAGTATGACTCTTAACCTGGACATGCTGTTTGTGCTGAAGTCAGGGTTTTGAGACTGTAACCTCTCCTTTCATGTTTTGAAACTGGTCTCTTTTTCTGTGGATTTTTTTTTCATTCACTAGAAATGCATTCTTTTACATTCCTCAGACCTGAAGAATGAACTCTGCCAGGTGAATCTAATTTATTACTCTGCTGACCACATCACTATTCTGTATTTCCTCTCTTATTTTTAAAGGAGTAGTGTTCTACTGAAATGTTGGCATGACATGTCTTTACAGAACAATAGTCTTTTACTTTAGTGATTCTTTAAAAAGTATCCTTTGAAAACATCTAGTTGGTGTGAAAATAAATCCAAAATACCTATGTATATAATTCATATGTTTCATGTGACTCAAGTTTTTGTTCTTCCCTGGGCTAAAATGTTTGGGTCAAAAAGATCTCAATGCCAATTAAAATTATTATTATAGCATTTTGAAAATTTTGAGGTATTTGTTTTCTTATATCCTTCATCAATATAACTCGTCTTAATAGAGCTTCAGGATGATACTCAGAGGCCAGAACCCCGAGTGTGCATAAGTCTATGCACATGTTGTTGATGAATCAGCTGGGGTATAAAAACTCCCAGGAAATTTTTGGAGCCTAAGGAAGACCTGTGCCTAAATAGAAAGCTATCCTACCTATCCAAGGAAATGGACTAAAGGAGGATTTGGGACAAGGAAAAGTCAAATGAGCAACTGAAGTAAAAAATTCTATGTCAGGAGCAAAACCAGGGTCATTGTAACCTAAAGTTATTAGCGCTAGCTTAATCATATGCCCATTTGCTTATTTCATTCACAGATATTTGGTGCTCCTAGTAAAATGGTCTTCACACTTCAGTGTCCATGAGACTTACCTGAAGAGATTGTTAAAATACAAAATTTTGGATCACTGCCTGAGATCATGACTCATTTGCTTTGGGGAGATACACAAGACACTTCCTTTTAACAAGCTTTTGGGACATTTTGATACAGATGTCCCTTTGGATGCACTTTGAGAAATAATTTCATATCATCCAAGTCATAGGATGAAGTCCCAAACAGGATTACAAACATGGAACAGACTTGTCTTATTATTCAGAAAACTTTGAACAAAAAGTGACATGTATTTTAACATTAATGATAAATAATAGTGGTAATAATAGCTACTGTATGTCAGGCATTATTCTAGACTATATTCATATATTATTTCAATGAATACTTAGAGTGACAGTCTTATTCCAATCTTACAGTGAAAGAGACTGAGGTGCATAAAGATGAAGGATGGAACTGTACTGTATATCACTGTATATGACAATATATGGTAAGTGTTGAAAATAACATATACAAATTGGTTTAGTGGGTATGATGGCGAAGGAACTTATATTTATTGAGTGCTTACTGCATGATAGGATGCATGTATTTTTAAGCACCCAGTGAGGTATAAATTATCATCCCATTTACCCTCAGCTTCTTCATATGTAAAGAAGGGATAATAAAATACCTCATCTCACAGGGTTGTAAAAGATGATTGATTAAAACAGATATTGTAATGTATCCAGCACAGTGCCTGGCTTAAGCCCTTGATAAATGTTAGGTACTATTATTTTCACTGTCATTATTTTTAAATTGTTTTTAATGGACAAAACTTGCATCTGTCTATGGTGCACAACATAATGTTGTGATAAATATACACATTGTAGAATGGTTAGATCAAGCTAATTAACATATCCATGAACTCACATACTTATTTTGTGGGGTGAAAGCATTTAAAATTACAGTCTTAGCATTTTCAAGTATGCAGTATATTGTCACTATCATTGCTTAAAGCTGAGAAATTGGAGGCTCAGGGAAGTTTCAGAACTTGGTTGAGGTTACCTGCTAACAGGACCTAGGATCTGATCAGCCTGGCTCCTTTTCCATGCTGTGCTGCCATCCAGCCACTGGGAGAGTAATATGCCCTTCCTTCTGGTGACCTGGGATGGCTTCATGGATGAAAACAGTTCAAGAGGGGGGAGGACTCAAGATGGCGCTGTGAGAAAAACCCAAGATTGAAGCTCTCAGTTAATGCGCGGAGAGGGTGAGTCAGGGCCGCATTTCCAGATGGATCTCTGTTGCCCACAGAACAGGGAAATTCCCAGGTATAAAAGAGACGCGGGACACCAGGCAGAGGTTTTGGCTGGTGCAGCTGGCAGCTGGCAGCCGGCAGCTGGCAGCTGGTGCAGCAGCGGCCCAGGCTGTAGCACAGCGGCGCTACACAGCGCTCCACACAAAGCGCACTGGTCCGGGGGCCCTGTTGAACTGGCAACCTGAGACTTGAGAGGGCTGAACTTGAGACTGAACAGGACTTGGACAGTGAGCCAGCCCAGGAGATTCCAGGGACCCAGCGCTTGGGGTAGTGCAGTGGGACAAACAAAACAGTGATTCCAAACGCTCCTGGTGGAGAGGTTCCCTGAGGGTGCAGCTCCGTGTGGGAGGGGCGTCCGCCATTACCAGGAAATCCGCCCCTACTGAGGTACACGCCCATTGCTGACACAGCCTGCCATTGCCAAGGCAACCCGCTACAACAGAGAGACTCTGCCGCAGGGCGTAGCCCGTGGCAGCAGGGTGGAGACCGCAGCAGAAGGGCAGAGCCTGCAGCAACAGGGCGAACCTCACACCAGCAGGGTGGAGCCTCGGCAGGCAAATAGTGACTAGACTGCCTCCTAGCTGGGCAGGACAGCACAACGGACACTCAAAAATAAAGCCCCAACACCCCCATACAGAGCATCTGAGAAAAAAAGGTTTTTTTTTTATGAGTTCTGTTGCAGCAGAATTAAACATAGCAGCCTAACAGCCCTGAATGAACAACAGAGCTCACACCTCAGCAATTGAGCTCCTATAAAGTACAGACTGTCTCCTCAAGCAGCTCCCTGACCCCTCTATATCCAGAAGACTGACATTTGGCAGGCATCATTCTGGGACAAAAATAGCAAAAAAAGAAACTGGTAGCATCCCTCACTGTTCCGCAGCTGCTATAGGTACACCCCAGACAAGGAGGGCCTGGAGTGGACCTCAACAGTCATACAGCAGAGGGGCTAGACTGGTAGAAGGAAAACCAAGTAACAGAAATACTTCAGCATCAACAATCTGGGTGTCCATTCAGAGACCCAATTGAAAAGTCAGCAACTACACAGACGACAGGTGGATAAATCCACAAAGATGGGAAGAAACCAGCGCAAAAAGAAGGAAAACACCTGAAACCAGAACACGTCACCTCCTAGAAAGGACCAAAACTCCTCACCAGCAAGGGAACAAAGCTGGACGGAGAATGACTGTGATGAAATGACGGAATTAGACTTCAGAAGGTGGATAATGAGAAACTTTTGTGAGCTAAAAGAACATGTTTTAAATCAATGCAAAGAAACTAAGAACTTTGAAAAAAGATTTGAAAAAAGATTTGAGGAAATGATAACAAGAATGGATAACTTAGAGAGGAATATGAATGAATTAAAGGAGCTGAAAAACACAATACGAGAACTTTGTGAAGCATGCACAAGTTTCAATAGCCGAATTGACCAAGCAGAAGAAAGAATATCAGAAGTTAAAGATCAACTCAATGAAATAAAACGAGAAACCAAGATCAGAGAAAAAAGCACAAAAAGGAATGAACAAAGTCTGCAAGAAATGTGGGACTATGTGAAGACACCTAACCTACGTTTGATAGGTGTGCCAGAAGGGGACGAAGAGAATGAATCCAAGCTGGAAAATACTCTTCAGGACATTATCCAGGAAAATTTCCCCCACCTAGCAAGACAGGCCAACACTCAAATGCAGGAAATACAGAGAACACCACAAAGATATTCCGCAAGAAGAGCAAACCCAAGGCACATAATCGTCAGATTCAACAAGGTTGAAATAAAGGAGAAAAAACTAAGGGCAGCCAGAGAGAAAGGTCGGGTCACCCACAAAGGGAAGCCCATTGACTCACAGCAGATCTCTCAGCAGAAACACTACAAGCCAGAAGAGAGTGGGGGCCAGTATTCAACATCCTTAAAGAAAAGAACTTTCAACCCAGAGTTTCATATCCAGCCAAACTGAGCTTCAGAAGTGAAGGAAAAATAAAATCCTTTGTGAACAAGCAAGTACTCAGAGATTTTGTCACCACCAGGCCTGCTTTACAAGAGCTCCTGAAAGAGGCACTACACATAGAAAGGAACAACCAGTACCAGCCATTCCAAAATCACACTAAATGCTAAAGAGCATCAACATAATGAAGAATCTACAACAACTAACGGGAAAAACAGCCATCTAGCATCAAAATGGCAGTATCAAATTCACACATAACAATATGAACCCTAAATGTAAATGGACTAAATGCACCAATCAAAAGACACAGACTGGCAAATTGGATAAAAATCCAAAACCCATCAGTGTGCTGTATCCAGGAAACCCATCTCACATGCAAGGATACACAAAGGCTCAAAATAAAGGGATGGAGGAAGATTTAGCAAGCAAATGGAGAGCAAAAAAAAAAAAAGCAGGAGTTGCAATTCTCATCTCTGATAAAATAGGCTTTAAAGCAACAAAGATCAAAAGAGACAAAGAAGGCTATTACATAATGGTAAAAGGATCGAAACAACAAGAAGAGCTAACGATCCTAAACATATATGGACCCAATGCAGGAGCACCCAGATACATAAGGCAAGTTCTTAATGACCTACAAAGAGACTTAGACTCCCACACAATAAGAGTGGGAGACTTAAACACTCCACTGTCAATATTAGACAGATCAACCAGAAAAAAAAATCAAGAATTTACAAAGAACTCAAACAGATTTACAGGAAAAAAACAAACAAGCCCATTCAAAAGTGGGCAAAGGATATGAACAGACACTTTTCAAAAGAAGACATATATGAGGCCAACAATCATATGAAAAAATGCTCATCGTCACTGGTCATCAGAGAGATGCAAATCAAAACCACATTGAGATACCATCTCATGCCAGTTAGAATGGCGATCATTAAAAAATCTGGAGACAACAGATGCTGGAGAGGATGTGGAGAAAAAGGAACACTTTTACACTGTTGGTGGGAGTGTAAATTAGTTCAACCATTGTGGAAGACAGTGTGGCAATTCCTCAAGGCCTTAGAAATAGAAATTCCATTTGACCCAGCAATCCCATTACTGGGTATATATCCAAAAGACTATAAATCGTTCTACTATAAGGACACATGTACACGAATGTTCATTGCAGCACTGTTTACAATAGCAAAGACCTGGAATCAACCCAAATGCCCATTGATAATAGACTGGATTGGAAAAATGTGGCACATGTATACCATGGAATATTTTGCAGCAATCAGAAATGATGAGTTTGTGTTGTTTGTAGGGACATGGATGAATCTGGAGAACATCATCCTCAGCAAACTGACACAAGAACAGAAAATGAAACACCGCATATTCTCACTCATAGGCGGGTGATGAAAAATGAGAACACATGGACACAGGGAGGGGAGTACTAAACACTGGGGTCTATTGGGGGAAAAGGGGAGGGCCAGTGGGAGGGGGAGGTGGGGAGGGATATCCTGGGGAGAAATGCCAAATGTGGGTGAAGGGGAGAAGCAAAGCAAAGCACACTGCCATGTGCGTACCTATGCAACTGTCTTGCATGCTCTGCTCATGTACCCAAAACCTAAAATCCAATAAAGAATTAAAAAAAAAAAAATCAACAAGGATATCCAGGGCTTGAACTCAGACCTGGAGGAAGCAAACCTGATAGACATTTACAGAACTCTCCACCCCAAATCCACAGAATATACATTCTTCTCAGCACCACATCACACCTACTCTAAAATTGACCACATAATTGGAAGTAAAGCACTCCTTAGCAAATGCAAAACAAATGAAATCATAACAAACAGCCTCTCAGACCATAGTGCAATCAAGTTAGAACTCAGAATTCAGAAACCGACCCAGAACCACACAGCTTCATGGAAACTGAACAACTGGCTCTTGAATGTTGACTGGATAAACAATGAAATGAAGGCAGAAATAAAGAAGTTCTTCGAAACCAATGAGAATGAAGACACAACATGCCAGAATCTCTGGGACACATTTAAAGCAGTCTCTAGAGGAAAGTATATAACAATAAGTGCCCATATGAGGAGAATGGAGAGATCCAAAATTGACACCCTATCGTCAAAATTGAAAGAGCTAGAGGAGCAAGATAAAAAAAACTCAAAACCCAGCAGAAGACAAGAAATAACTAAGATCAGAGCTGAACTGAAGGAGACAGAGACACGAAAAACCCTTCAAAAATCAATAAATTCAAGAGCTGGTTTG